ACCAAATTGTAGGACTTTTTTCCGTATTTTACTTCCCAAGGGAAGTTTCTTCTTAATCATTCTATTGTGTTGACTGCTTTTGAAGGAATAAAGAACACTCACATTGTATATGTAGGCAAGGAAATCCAAAACAGTATTAATTAGATCTAACCTGCCTAAAGCAGCATGCACACTATATCTTTTATGTAGATAGCTTCCTTTTATTCTATAACCCCTTGCCATATTAAAGCAAGTCTTGCCAAACTATTCCTCACTTGGAGCTGCTAATTTCACAGTATTGCTGTTTAGCAGTTCATATAACATCTCCATCTCCTTTCTGTTTACTCTTTTCTCCTTTTATGTGCTGGATTACTGTTCTCATCAGCAGCTTATCCAAAAAATAAAAATCAGGCTTATTTTATGGTAAATGAGCAGCTTGACTTCCTTTCTGAACAAATGTCTGGCCTATCAAGTGGCACTCCACCATAATATATGGGTAATAAGTGGGTGATGAAGCTTTTAAATCGGCACTTTTAACTACAGTACAGGTTGGTGTGTTAGTATAATGTTTATAAATCTGATTGGGCGTTCTTCGATCTTAATGCAGCTTCTTGTTCTCAGCCGCGTTGCTGTATGAGGTCAACAAGCTCTCAGGAGTGATGGTTTCTAGAAGTGAATCTAGAGGCAAAAGGTACTAATGTACCCTTTCGCCTTTCAAGGCCGGGATGGTTGGAACCATTTGCTTACCTTTGTACTTTTCGTAGTAATGTTATGAGAGGTGAAGCAAATTTTACCAGAACGATATTTTAAACGAAATCATGAGCGAGTTTATATCACTACATTCTTGGTTAATTTTAGGTTTACTTAACTTGAATATTTTGATAGATTGTTTAACAACATAAAGTATGATAGTTTTGTGGTGGAAATTCCTAAAGTATTCCTACAATAAGTGTTCTGCTGGTTTAATTTAAGAATCAAACAGATAGCTGCCCAACGACTCCACTGAAACATTTGAAAGAAGACAGACGGGATAAGTTTGCTAGTTCTCATTATTTGATTAAGAAATTCAATTAAATAAAATTTCACGTAGTCAATCAATCGAGTCACTATGATTTTCTACTCGACGAAAGGGATATGTTTTTCATGCATTGAAAAAGGGTCAAAATTATTCTCAAACTATTCGAAATAGCTCATATATCCTTTATTTATTTTTGGAATTAAAACTACCCTTGTCGTCTATGTTTTTGACCATAAATATCTTTAAAATGTTATCTTTGCTATTGGAGCTGATATGACAGTCCACCTAGGTAGTTCAACATGGCAAAAATTTCTTCCTCTCAATAGTGTTGTTCTTCCTTCATTCCTTTCACAAAAAAAAAAAAAACAAATATAATTCTTTCATTGTTCTTGTTTGAGTTGTTCGGACGTTGGAACTTTAATTTCGAAGTGTGCTGAAGTTTCTAAGTTGTTCCACTTCAACGTTGGTTATAGTTATTCCACCTTCTATCCTACATAAACTAAAACATATATTATCTGGTAACTTATACATGTATTGATTATGTGGGTTTCTAAGTTGTCAACTAAAATGTCGTATTAATTTTAATTTTATACATGAATAATTTATTTCCTATTTATCTACCAAACATCATACAAGTTATACAAAAATTAATATATATAAACAACTTACTTCTTATCCAACTATCAAAAGCCCCTTCACAATTCAACCGGATAAGGGAAGAGAAGATTTGACATTTTGACAATGATTGCAAAGGAAATTAATAAATTAGTGAAAGTTGTCTACTTTTGTTCGCTGTAGTTTTTTGAAAAGAAGTTGGTGAAAATTTGAAAGTTGCAAGTGTTTGAAAATTATTTTCTCCGTTTCAAAATAAATATCATCTTAGGAAATGTATCTCAGAATAAGTGATATATTAAAAATTTATGACAAAAATTAGTACTATATTTTTTCCATCCATACCCTTAAACTCCATCTTCATCGTAGTGTTCAATTTTTAAGAGACATCTTTTCAAATAAAAATAATTTAGTAAATTACACATTGTATATATTGATTTTTTTAATAAACACAATGTTTACTAATATGACATTTATTTTGAGACAAAGGGAGTACATAAAAGTACTCATTCTGACAAGTATCTTGATCTTGATAACTATTTTTTAAGTTTCAAGTCGCATTTTGTTCACAATTTCACAAATGCCTATGAGATACCCTTTATTTTGCAAACAAACCCTACAAACAAATGCTACCAAATTAACAATCCCTTAGTTAATGATAATTATCTTGAAAAAAATTCCTTTTTTTTCCATTGAAAACTCACTTAACTATTGTTATTTCACCTACAAAATCACTCGATTTGTTAAGTGATCTTTCTATTATAAAACAAAGAAAAATGACTTTTTTAACTAATTACTATTAGTTGAGACTTTCCTATTACAAAATAAAGAAAAGAGACTTATTGAATATGATTGATCTGAAAAATCAACTCGAACTTTGTGTACAGTTACAAAGAATATCTACCTAACTAGAACAAAATCTTTATCAGAAAATAGTAAACAAGAGGAATGAGGGGAACAAATTGAATTTCAATATATGGTAAAAAAACTATCAACTTTTCTATTTTTGTATATACCTTGATAAGCTGTTACTGCTGCTGCTAACTGAAAAATCTCTGAATCTATCACTGTGTAATGATAATGATTCCAATGACTCAAAACCAAGGGGAAGTGGCCTATCTGGTAATCTTGGAATATCAATATCTCCTTCAAGCATTCTCAAAGCATCTTCAATTGTTGGTCTTAAAGCCACCATAACATGAGCACAAAGTATTCCAACATGAACAAATCTCTCCATAACTCTCTTTGGTCCTTCATCCTTTATAGGCACATCGAAAACGCCTTCCACGTTTCTTGATTTCACCATTGTCCATGCCCAATCAGTGACCAAAAGTGCAGAAGAATTCGATGCATCAAGAACCCTCCTTCCACTCATGATCTCGAGGATCACGATGCCAAAGCTATATACATCACTCTTCTCTGTTAACTGCCCGTATAGAGCATATTCGGGTGCTAGATATCCATATGTGCCAGCCACCCTTGTTGTAAGATGAGTTTGTCCTTCTTTGCTTTGCTTAGCTAATCCGAAATCTGCAACTCTAGCCTTCATATCCATGTCCAAGAGTATATTTGTAGCCTTTATATCGCGGTGGTAAATTGAAGGTTTGATTCCATAATGCAAGTAAGCTAGCCCTTTAGCCACATCAAGAATTATGTTCTTTCTTTGAGGCCAAGATAAACGTTTCGTTCCAACGTTGAATAGATGTTCATCTAAGCTACCATTTGGCATGAAATCATACACCAAATATCTCCCTTTTCCATTCAAGTTGTCACTTGTAACACAAAATCCTCTTAGAGGAAGAAGATTCCTATGCCTAATCTTGCTTATAATCTCTGCTTCATTAATAAACTCCTCATCACCCTTACTATCCATATCAAGAATTTTCTTCACAGCAATTAAGGTACCATCAGAAAGGGTCCCTTTATAGACACTTCCACTCCCTCCTTGACCTACCATATTCCTTTGGGAGAATCCTTTAGTGGCTTGTTCAAGCTCACCTACTTGAAACCACTTAGCACCAGTATTGGGCAAAATTTGGGACTTAACACTAGTAACATACCCTTGATGCAATGCATCTTGCTTTCTCTTCTTATCCCATTTCTTGTAAAGAACAATGAAAACTATAACACCCAAAATCCCAAAGAAAGTACCTAAAAACCCGAAAACCATTTTTAACGAAGTCCCTCTGCTAAGATGGTGCGATCTACTTGCCTTGTTAGCCAAGGGAAGGGCAAGCACACATGCAGCAGTTCTTGAATCCTCAGGTCCAAATTCACTAACAATAGCAGCAGCATAAATGGCAGTGAAATAAAAACACTTATCATTTGTAACATTTGGATTCAAAGAAACCAAATAAGTATTTACCTTCAAACCAGCATCAAGACACAAACTGCACCTAGTAAGCCCTGCAAGGTCACCAGTACAAGATGAGTCAAGTAGGCTATTTGGACCTACTTTTTCCATCCAATCTTTCATTGTGACAATACCTCCACAACTCGAAGGCTTAACGACAAAATCATTACTCCCATTCATGCACTGTGAGACAAAAGATTGAGATATTGACATGGAAGAAAGCTTGGCTTTGAAGGCTGAAGTACATGAAAGAGCAGCATCTTCATTTGGGAGATAAAACATAGATGTTTCTTTGAGGTGTTGTGCAAGTCCTATACCGAAGAGACTACGGAGTGTTTGGCAGCAACTCTTCTCTAAATATTCTTCTGTGCATAAAGAAGTGTCCCAATTACAGGTTTCTATGTAATCAAAGTTTATTGGACATGAAGAAGAATTCAAAGCATAGCAGAAAGAAAAAAGGATATGGCAAAATGATAAGAAGAAGATAAGTTTCATGGTTTCTAGCTGTTAGATTAGATTGATTTACCCCAAAGAGATTGTTTTTTCTGTTTTAGTTTTGGTTACATAGTAGAGAAATTTGACACAAACACTTTTAAAAAATGGCTGGCTTTGGTCAATTTGCACGTTTGGTTTGAAACTTGAAAGAGCTTTTTGATGTGGATTCTTGGAAAGTTGGTAAGTCATAGTCAACAAAACCTCACTGCAGGCATTACTTTAATGAACAAATAAGTAGATAAACAAGTCTCAATTATAATACTAGTCTATTTGATATTTTTATATTACCACTTGTACATCCTTTCATTATGCAGAAAAATTGATACACTCCCTCCTTATTTGTCTGATTTTAACTTAACAGAGTTTAAAAAAGTAAGAGAAGACTTGAATCTTATGGTCTTAAACTAAAGATATGATAAATGTAGTCACTTTATGGTTTTAAAATTATAGCGTTGCCAAAAAGGAAAGATTATTTCTTAAACAAGCAAAAAAGGAAAGTAAGACGAACAAAAGTCGTGATTGTATTAAATACAACAAAAGGACTGAGAAAGTAGAATAGGCCAAATATCATAATTTTCTTGTTACATTCCAGATACACAATCTTTTTACTCATATTCCATCCATCAGGGGCTAAATAGTATTTTAGTAGGATTTTCGAAATTCAACATTTAGTGAGTGTTGCACTCTTCTCCTCAAATGTAAAGAAACAGAATGAAGATTGTATTATCCTGTATACAAACTTTTGAACTATCCAGGCCTACGCGAACTACTTGGCGTGAAAATGCAACTGGAAAACAAAATGAATGAGCTGCAACATGATCTAGTATTCATTTGTCAAACTCCCAAATGACTCCTCCATCCTCTGCAATCACAAGTCCAGCCAACTTAAAAGACAAACCAGAAATAAAAGAATGAAAAAAGAAAAATAATTGTATCAATTGAAAACTAAATCAAACAAATGATATGCCGCATTCAAGTGGAGTGGACTGTTTGGAAAGCTGAATATGGTTTCCTTGAGTACTGGACGAGGAGGATAGACGCTTGAACTTTCACAAATAAATATACTCCTATGTGTAAGGAGTTGATCACAATCTTTCGAGAATATTCAAGCGATGATGGACTATAAAAACGTGGTGAGAAAGAGGTGGAATGTTGGAAGATACAGGGAAAGAAAAATGATCACAGAATAACTATCAAGGAACCAACTTCTGGACTTCAACAAAGATGGTAAGTAGTGTGACTAAGCAGGTAGATGCATATAGCTATTTCATGTATCCCAAGTACCAGGCCACAATTTGTTTTTCTTGCTGGATTATTTAGGTCAAGAGCAAGGCAGATACGCCTCAAGAATTCTTTGGACCAAGGAATTTGCTGCGAGATTTTAACACTCCAAGAAAATAAAACCATGTCATAACATCCAAAGGACGAAAAAGTCGCTAACATAACAACTCTCAAACAACTCTTTAGTATTTTAAATCAACTGATATTCTTTTACCACTCATAGATTTGTATCATTCTCAATTGCATGAAAAGAAAAAGATAGAAGCATTTATCTCATGGAATAAGCATTTACTGAGTAAATTTCAAAAGAAAAATAAACATTTACTGAGTCCCAACAATTTAACAATCTAAAAGCAAGATCTAAATACTTGAACACTATCCTGAGGAATCTTTTTTATCAACTAGGGAAGACTTAGCATTACAAACACATACCAAAATACCAAAAACAGGTCGTTAAATGTTTTAGGCTTTATATGCTATCAAGAGACATATTCACCTCCCAACTAAAATTGGTTTGAAATATTCTATAAAAAAAAGGTTTGAAATAACTTATAAGAAAACGATGCTAAGAGCTTCACATGTTATTGATATATTAAGGAACATTAGCTTAAATTTTGTATTTGTATGTGTTCTCAATCTTGAGCAGTGGAAACAAATGGCATATATTTGATTCTATCTCTTATGAATTAGAGCAGTATATGCATACCTTTGACCTTCTTGTTGATCCATGCTTCGAGTAGCATCCCTGCGCCAACTCCGGCAGCAATAAATGACCCATAAAATGCTATGGAATATGGTAAGGATCTCCGTGGGAGGAAATAATAATCAGGAACTTGTCGAATCTTTTTTGGAAACCGTTTCTTCACAGCTGGTTCAAGACCAGGCACCTTACTTTCTCCACCCAGACTTTTCCAGTCCATCTCTTTTAATGAGTCTTTTGGCCGTTCTGCTCCCATGACAGCACTCTAGCAATAGAAACCTGTTTATGAGATGAAATGTTCAAGAAAATCAAAGTCTTGAATTTGAAATTATAAGGAAATCTTCGCATTATAACAGCACATCTATAGTTGGCATCTTCTTCCTCTGTTTTGATAGGTAAGGTAAAAAGTTTATTGATAAAACAGTACCAAGGAGGTACTGCAAATGTTACGAAATTCTAGACTCCATCAAGCACTATGCAAAAAAAGAATCTAGAGAGTCCATAAAATTGAGATAAACAAAAAAAAATTATGCCAAAATAACAAATTTTGCAAGAATCTAAATTTATGCAGGCAATCAAACCCCTTTTTCCTTCAAAGCATCTTTTGTTTCTCTCCTTCCATACTGTCTAGATGATGCATAGGGGAATTATCTCCAAATCTTCATCTGCTTTCTTTCCATACTCGGACCTTGCCAACAATTTAGTAAATTTTTAAATCTCTGTGGCATCACCCAATAAACACCAAAGATATTTAAAAATAAGGACCAGATCACCCATGTTTGTTCACAGTGCAACAAGTGACTAACAGTTTCTAAGAGCATTGACATAGAGAACATCTATTACATAAGCTAAATCCCCTCTTTTGCAAATTATCTAGAGTCAAACAAGTTCCGTAGGTAGCAATCCACCCAAAGCATGCTACCTTGGTTGGGACCTTAGTTTTCTAAAGCATTTTCCAAGGCCAGAGAATCTCAGAACTATAATTCTGTTTTTGCAGCCTGTTAGACCTGTTGTAACTAGGGTTTATAACTGCAGGAATGGTGAAAATAAGGCTTAAATGTAACTGTTTTATTTATTAATTATTATGTGTATGTAGTTCTTGTAGTTACCTAGCAGTTAACTAGCATTTTAGGCAGTTATTCTGTGATAAATTGTACTAGGAAGAAGGGAAGACAGCAAGTTCTATTTTCTCTGGCAGATTTGGAGGTTAAGGTTTCCTCCAAATACCTTGGTTGTTAGAAGTATTCTCCATATGCTATTTGTAAAACTTATTCTATTTGTTGGTGGCAGTAAATAACAGTTGAAGTGTTGTTCCTATTTCTGTGTTGTGTTTGGAAGTTTACAGATCTAGTGTTAGGAGAGTTCTGGGTTCCCAACACAGCCATTCATAGCCTTGTTTCACTGTAAAGTTATTTGCAAGCTATTTCTCATCACAACAACAATTTTTTTTTTGAGACAAGTAACAGTTCTATTCAATAAAAACTTAACCACCCCATCACAGCAACATTGACGGCTGCCTCGGCCACACCAACATTGAACTACTCCTCAAGTGTTTCCATCTTTGCCTTCATGGCATTATTAGCACTCAACGCCTCCATGAGCCTGCACTCCCAAGGCAGTACCCTGCTTGTGCCCCTTCAACTCATTCCGTACGCTCTCATTCTCTTCAAGAATGTGCCCCTCAAGAACATTTAGGGGGTGCTCTCCACCTTTTCGAAGCAATGGCCAAATATCTCGACGATGTCCATTCCCCTATTAACCTCCATAACCTACTCTCTACTGGGTGAGACATCCTCGGGCAGGATTTCCTTGTCATCCTGGTTCACCTCAGTGGTAGATGATAATTGGGAGGTAAGTCTTTCACTTGACACAATCTAGAGTGACACCTCCTAACTTTTGTTGGAGGCATTCCTCTCTTTGTTATGGTCCTCCTTGTGTTGCCTCCTTGGTGACGTTAGCTTGGGTGTTGACAAAGTTGATTTCCTTCATTGCATCCTTTGCTCTAATACCACATTGTCACTTCCTTAGTCTTAAACTAAGTGCACGTGTGCCACTTGACAACTTGCTCACAATCTTGCTATGTCAAGTCAGCCTAGATTACTAGGCTAAAGATCATTAACGGAATGTTAGGTAAGAAAGATAGGAGAAATTTGCTAAAGGAAGCTTTTGTATTAGATTTTGCTTGATGATATACAAATGAATGACCCCCTATTTATATTAATGCTACTGCATAAATAATAATTATTGTACAAGTCCATCATAGTTACAAGGTAAGGGCTTTCTTTAGAATTCTCAACAAAGCTAGAAAGTTTCAAGGCCTTTTCTAGCAAATCCATAGAGTTAAAAGGTCCTCCAAGGAAAATATCCACATTTCTCTAGAAACTTCCACAAGTGCTAGCCTTCTTCTTATGTAAGCATCCAAATGGCAAAAATGTGTGCCAAGTGGCACCTAGGTGGCATGATGATATGGATGGTCATCACATTACATCCCAAAATTTCAGCAAACTCCTCAATGATATTATCCATATTAACATAAAAGATGCAACTCTTATTCCAGTTTACTTTAAGTCTTGAGACTGCTTCAAAGGCTAACAAGATAATTCTCAGGTGTTTGGCATCTTGGTTTCTCAAGTATTTTATGGGTAACCAATTACACATATCTTGTCCTTTTCTCTGTTTGCCTTTTATTTTCACCTCAACAATTCAGATATTAAATCAACATTAAGCAAAAATCTGAATCTTCCAAGCCGAAAGACAAATAACAATAACAAAGTACAGCGCCTTCACTTTTTTTTTTTTTTAACAAAGGTAACAGGAAGTACAACGCCTTCACTTATCAGAGTAAAAGCATGTCAAGATCAATTGTTGACTAAACAGATAGAGAAAAGAAAATATGGTTAAAGTTCAGCAAAACAACCAGGGAATCTAGCACCATGTTATTGCCTGTTTCATTGACAGGCACATTTGCTTCCTTCTACACTTCCTCACCACATAAAAGCAATGGAAAAGCCCACATCGGTTTCTATTTTCCATTTGGGAAAAGAAAAAGTCCTTCTCGTATAAACATTTGGATTGGAAATGAAAAGGTATAATCTTTCATGTCTCTTCCACAAAAAGATTAATCCTTAATTCATTGCCTCCAATACACCAGGTCTTTTTATTCTAAAAGAAATTAAATAGAAGTCTGACTATCTACTAGCTTATAAGTTAATTAGGTTCTCTATAATCAGTTATTCTGAGTTTTGCCAAGTGTTTCTACTATTGGATTGGGTTTAGGTAATGCTGGCAAATGAGCGGATTCAGATCAAATATGGGCGAGTTGAAAATGGGTTAGAAAAGACGGATAAAATATTCGACCCCCATATTTACTATGGATAAAAAAAAGGGTAGAGTGACTGAAACATGTGTATTTATATGGTTCTTTTATGCTCAGAAAAAGAAAACATATATGATCCTTTCTTTAGTTTGCAAACCGAATTAGCTGTCCGTTTACCACTGCTTGAGCAGTACCAGCAGAAATCCAAAGAAAAAAAAGTACCACGAAAAAGAAGAAGAAATTCAAAAACAAACGTAAAACCTACAAAAAAGCAACAGGCTAAATATAACCAAGAGAAACAACGCTAGAGGAGAAAAGATGAAACTGAATGATGAAAATGACTACACAGAGATTGTTTCTGGGTATAAGTAACTTTTCACAGTTTCACCTAAAAAATCATTTCCAGCGTCTCAAGAAGTGAATAGGTGAAAGAACCCATCGGGCTAACCAATTGGTTTGGGCCTGGGACTTCCATGTTGGAGGTCTCAAGTTCCAAACCCCTTGCCAATGAAAGCAAGGGGTTTGCCTTCTGGGTCGAGTTCATCGCACTGGGCTTGCCTAGTGCAGGTTACCTCTCTGGTGTGGTTTGCGAGCTATTGCATAGGAGCGGGGTTTTTACCCTGTGCGCAACGCGCACCAAAAGGATTGCGGCTGCGGGTTTCCCTTGTCATAAAAAAAAAAGTGAAAAGGTGAAAACTTGATCCATTTTGACCCATCAAGTACCCCTTTCTTACCACAAATAATATGGATACAATCCATATTTGATCCATCCTAAATAATCAATTATCCAACCTGTTTTTAATTGTGCAATAGGCTTGCATTTTTATCCATTTTTGGGCGGACTAGTTACGACTTACCAGCCTCCCTTGAAATAAGTATATTTATATGCAAGTTTTATCAGTTAATCAAACCAGAACAGAAAATTTTCAATTAATCAAGTAATAATAATGTGGTTCTTATCTCACTAAGTTGTACTCTCAATTTCAATTTGTTTATCTTACTTTCCTTTCAATCCGCTTCAAAAATACTATAAAATCATAAGATTAATAAGTTTAAAGAGACATTTGGTACATTCTATATTTCTTTAGTTTAAGACCACAAGATTCATTTTTTTTCTTTTACTTTCTTAAACTCCGTGCTAAATCAAAATCAGACAATCAAATTGAAACGGACGGATAATATAAAACCAATGGTAGAGTACAATGATGTAGATCAGAAAAGAATCACAACTGATGAGAACATTGAGAATCCAAAAGACAGAATTTAGCAAAGAAGTTGAAAGCTTTTGAATGCAGCCTCTGTCTAATTCAACTAGCCTACATAAAGTAAACAAACAAGTAACAAGGGGGTCTTTAAAATCAATTAATCTCGACATCTTCAGATTTTCAACCGCAAAAAATGAAACAAAAAAAAAACTATTGCTTTGGATAGCCAGAACAGCTGTTCAATAACTTTTCTATGAATTTCATCCCAATAACTAAAATTGTATCGTTTTTAGAATGAAAAACTTACAATTTGATGTCAATGGAAAAAGGAGAACAACTAGTTCACTGCTGATGCCCTAGCTGCAGACATTTGAAATTGGTATTCCCAAAATCAAACTGAGGTCTTGGGTTCAATTATGCCATTACATGGTAGGCCTTAGGGCTCCAAATGCCTACTTATAAAATATAAAATATATTTAAAAGATTTATTGAAAATAAGCAATTGATTTTAAATAAAATATAATGTTTTTTTTTTAACAATTTCAATAAAGAAAACTGAAATTCAGGCCCTTTTTTGGATGGGGAATTTTTGCCTATAGTCACACTAAAATAACTTAATTATGCCTCCTAGTTATAGTTTGTTAATTACAATTCGTAGCAACGTGTTAGAGGGAGGAGAGAGGCGAGCGAGAGAGTGGAGAGAGGCGAATTCTATATATATATTTGTAGAATTATATATGTATATCTGTCAAATAGTT